CCCCAAAACCCCAAAACCCCAAAACCCCAAAACCCCTATAAACAGCAAACTCATTGATAATTTATAGTTTTAAAAATGTGGGATTTGGATATTAACAATACTGCGTACCAAGAGTTCCCTGAGAGATTCATCGCTCATTACACATCTTTAGCAGAAACAACAGATAAGTTTCTCTCTGAAAGAGTATCGAAGCTAACTTTGATACTGATTCCAGTGTTTTTATTTTTAGTCTTTAAATACGTCATTCCTAAAATAAAGGAGATAGTAGTGGGAAACAGCATCATTACTATAGTCCTGAATATTCTAAAGATGATCCCTGGGTTACATATTCTAGTTAGAATACTCCTGAAGTCGAAGTACAAAGAACTTTATGAAGCTATGGCTGGATTCTTGCTTGAGAAGAGAGAAAATGTCTTTGAAGTTCTCCCTGACAGACCAATCGCTATTGAAAAACTTAAGAAAAGGATTGATGAAATTCAAGAGAGCCAATATGAGAAATACGCTAATGGACTTCACTCAGGAAGTATCTATGGCTCTGAAGACAAGAAGTTCAATCAAAGAATTGAACACGCCATGGAAAAATTCTCCAACGCTAATACATTTGACTTAGATATCCATAAAGGAGTTGCTCATATGAATGCTGACGTGGCTAACAGTGCTAAGAAGTTATTTAACGGAGACGACGATACTCATTGCATCATAACAACAGGAGGTACAGAAAGTATATTGTGCTCTTTAGCTGCATACAAGCTTATGGGAAAGAAGGAAAGAGGAATCAACAAGCCAAATATTGTGTTCTACGACACTGCTCATGCTGCTTTCCCTAAAGGCTGCTTTTTCTTTGGAATTGAACCAAGAATGGTAAAGACCAAGGATAAAAGTTATACTTCTCCTGAGCCTTTCAGACCCTACATTGACTCAAACACTGTTGCTATCATTGCTAGTGGCTGCAACTATGCACATGGAGGAATCGATGACGTCACTGCTTTTGGCAAGATGGCCCTTGAATATGGTATTGGACTCCATGTCGATAACTGTCTTGGAGGATTCTGTAATTGCTTCGGAGACGAAATTGTTGATGATATGTTCCCCTTTGACTTCAGAACACCTGGAGTTACTACAATCTCTGCGGATACTCACAAATATGGATATGGACCCAAAGGAAATTCATGCTGTCTCATTAGACCAAAGAAATTATTTGATGCACTGAAATATACATCCATTGATCACTCCGGAGTTCCATTCACAATGGATCATTTTGGAGACTTTAGATCGGGAGCGATCTTAGCTGGAACTTGGGCAGCAATGTTCTCTCTTGGCTACTCTGGATATGTGGAAAAAGTCAGAAAAATCCATGAAGAAACTCTTAAAGTCAGAAAGTTTGTTGATCAGCATCCTGATCTTAAACTTTATGGACCAAACAACTCATTAAACATGGTCTGTTTCGATGGAATCAATGTTAATCCAATCAAAGTATCTCTCAAACTTAAGGAGCTTTATGACTGGAAGCTTTCTGAATGCCAATATCCATGTGTTGTTCACTTACTTGTGAGTGATTCAAACGTAGAGAAGATGGACAAATTCATTAAAGATCTTTCAGAAGTAACTGACCTGATAAGACAAGAACCAGATGGGTATAAAGCTTCTGACTACCAAAAACTTTATGGAGCTTCTCAACAAATTACAGATGCCTCCATAATGGGAGACCTCCTTTATGTGGTCTTAGACTCATGTTACTCAACTACAAAGGATGACCTTATGGTGAGCTTCAATACTCTCCATTAATCCTTACTTGGATCTTTCAATATCCGTAAAAATAGAAGGGGTTTTGGGGTTTTGGGGTTTTGGGGTTTTGGGG